AAAACTATATCTAAATTTAATACTCATCAAGGTTGGAGCTTTATACCTCCAAAAGTTGCACAAGGGAGTGTAGATGATGCATCCAAAGCCTTGAGTGAAACACCACAACTTCTAGGTTCTTCCTTCACCACCAAAAAGTATCAAAACGGTACCAAAGGACTCTCCAAGCTTTAAAATACACTCACACACTTTAGGGTTTCGAGATGAGGTCAAGGGGGGATGGAGGCTGGAGTGAAGGAAGGGTATGAGGCTATAATGATGCTTAAATAGGGTCCAAACCCTAAAATTTATGGTTTGCACCTGCCCACGTACGCAAACCATGCCAAAAACTACGAAATTGCCATTAGGGACCACTTTGCAACACAATCACCAACCAAGGGTCAAAAAGGAAATACATGGGAATCAAGATGTTACAGAAAAATTGAAAGTAAGTGGCAAGGGCTGGATTTATTTGCTGAGTTTGTGATTCTGGAGACGAAATTATCTTAAGTGGGGGAGAATTGTAACGCCTGCAAATACGGGCTAGACTTTTTAAGGATTGTAAGAGATAAATGTGTGTCATAAAAAGTGAAATGGAGAACAGTTGATTTTCATCCAGAACAATCTAAATGAGAGTTAATGTACTCGAAAATATGAATTTATTGATATAATGAACGTTGAGAATGGAGTTCTTATGAAAGAGTTACGATTTTTGCAAAGTCTTTTATAATGTATTTCTTATATACTATAAAAATAAAAATAAAATGTGAATTAGCCAACGAAGTGTAAAGAAAAGTTGTAGTACTCATCGATGCAAAACTAGGTATATAAATAATGTCGAAGACGGAGCTCGTATGCGAGAGATATAATTTTTTGAAGTTTGCCAAATTTAACTGTTAATTGTTATGCCAAATCATGTCACATGTTACGATTAGGGAAGAACCCTTGCTGCCTAGGCTAGGGTGCGACACACCTATGTTAGGGGCACAATGTGCCTCCCCTAAAGAACTCCTATAAATAGCTTCTGAAATCTCATTGTTTCTTCACCCCTTTTCTCTCTCAACCTTATCTCCGTAGAAAGTTCAATTTGTTGGATTAGTGTCTAAGTCCATAACTATATTTGGTATGTACTTGACCGGGTTGTGCATGGTCCTTTTGGGTTGCCTTCACCAAAGCAACTTGACTGGAGGAATAATATAGAAAGAGGTGATTATGGGTTTATTAATATATTATAAGACTAATATATTAAAAGAGAAATCATATTTGTTTAATTAATATTGGTCAATAATTAATTAAGAATTAGTTTTGTGATCAAAAGAAGTTAATTGAACTTAAGGGGCTGAACTGTAATTATGTGATAGTTACAAAGTTGGGCAAAGGAAACCCTATTAGATAGGGTGGACGAATTCTAGGGATAAAGCCTTAAGAATTCGTCCATGATAGGGATTCTAGAATTATCCTTGGGCTGCTTGGTGGCTAAGTAATCTGATAAGGATAACCATTGAAACCCTAATTCCTACACCTATATATAGGACCCCTAGGCATGGGAATTTCGGCCACTTGAACCCTAGAAGTCCTAGAGCCGAAATTCTCCTCTCCCCTCTCTCTCTTGTTTTCCTCCAATTGATATTGGTGTTTGTGATTCATTAGACGCACAACACTTGAGGTGCTAAAGTTCTCAAGGCTTCAAGATCTTCAATCAACAACAAGGTAAACATCTAGATCTGATTTGTTATGTCAATTTCGATTATATACACTAGATCTAGGGTTAGAAAGTCTTGGATGAATTGCATGTACAATAGAGAAACCTAGATCCAAGCATTAGGGTTTCCATGAACACATAGGATGTTCTTTTGGCTCAAACCCATCACAATTTTCTGAAGTTTCTTTCGGTGTTGCAAGGTATTCGTAGTGAGGCTCTGAAGCATTAGATAGTCCGATGAAAATGAGTATTCTAAGTCGAAGTTCTGTCCACGACTTTCCAAACTTTTTCCAAATAATTATGTAAGTTAAGTTGCACTTACTACGTTGTACGTGTAACTTATATTTATGCTCATATTCGTTATTATGAACCTATAAATTAGATTTAACAGTGATTCCAGTTGTAATACTGCTTTATCTACTTATATGAGTGATGTCTAAGATCTCAAGTTAGGTTTTTGAAGTGGATTTTTCCAAAGAGTATACTCTGTATACCAAACGGATCCTACCTCCAATATGATCTTTTACCTAGTCATTCCTTATCAGCTAGAACTTGAAGTATTCATTGTGATTATTGAGGAATTTTAGAAATAGTTACAAAACTCGTATAAATACGAACGAATACTGAAACACTGTAATATTCGTATTTTAGGGAAAACTGAAGTATTAGTAAAAGAGTTGATTTTCCCGTGAATCTTCCACCTTAATGAGGTGAGTGCATAGTTACTTTCATGAACATGATTTTAATACAAGTATTTATTAAAAGTATTAAATATCTGTTGAAAGTTTATATATGAATTAAAAGCTTATTATTTGGAATATGTGTTAAATGTATATTTGTTAACATACATTGTGGGAATCAGATATGGTTATGTATGTGTAAAGTGTATATACGATATATTACATGACAATCTTAATAGAAATATTATTACTTAAAAGATTATTATATACCTGATACTTTTTGTTGAATATATATATATATATATATATATATATATATATATATATATATATATATATACTAAATTATGATAGTGTTGCCTAAACAGGGTTGGTATTTAATGTTGATTTCAGGGATTGTAGTATTGTCTAAGTTTTAAACTAAGACATAAAGGATTATTAGATCCAATTAAATTTGATAATAGTATCGTTGTATTTTGTATTACGATAGTATGACATAAACAGGAAAATGGTTTTTGAAATTGATTACAAGCATTATGCTCTTGCCTAGTAATGAAATAAGACTTATAAAGAATGTTTAGTTCGAGTAAGTTGAAATGGTGTTTAGTTATACCCTGTATTGTAAAATTATGTTAGAGGTTGATTATGGGTATTGTAATCTTGTCTATTTATACACTAAGACCTAAAAGGGATGCTTATTAACTTTGGATATTGGGTTGCACCAAATTAAAGGTATGTGCGAGACGGGAACGGAGAGTAGAACTATGTTCGATGAAAATGATATTTGGTGGGGTACATGTTACTTATTGGAGTTCTATATTAGTATCCCCCCTCCTTTTTAGACAGGCGAATATGGTATGTATGTATCAGGCAGTTGTTAGGTGCCTGGACCACCAATCATTTTCTAGAGTAGGATGACAACTACTGACTAAATCAGTCTTATGGAATCATTGGCATGCTTATAGTCTGAAAGTGTTAATGAATTATACCAATCTATCCCCCCGTAGTTGCCTTTATTGACTAACGTCTTCTGCCAATGAATCACTGAAACAATATAGTCAACTCGTTGCTTATAGTGATCCATCTGGATAGATATCATAAGATCATTGTTATAGGATCAATATGTGTGAGGATCGACGAGATATGTAACTAAGGGTAAAACGTCTTATAGATATTTATGATGTGTTGTTGGATAGTAGTTGGGTTTACAGGTTTATTGATTATAGATTATTATCATAATAACATTGTGGGATTGAAAACCTTATGTATCTCACTATGTTTCCCAACATGATTACTCATATTATATGCATCACAAATAGTGGTGTTAAGACTGGTGGAGACTTGAATATGATGTTGAGTGATTAAAGAGAAGACATACAATAGTATTCAGGGCCGTTAGGTCTTTCCACTTTAACTATGTTGTGTATTGATTATGACATGCTTAGAGTTTTAATATTTTAAAACAAACATTTGTACTAAAAAATGTTTTAATATACTAAGATTTTCCACAAATAAAAAGGTTTTTGTTTTTAAAGAGTAAAGATTTTTTTTCGGTTATGAAAAATAAAGGATATTACAAATGAGGATGACAAAGATCACAAGCACATGTCCAAGTCCAAGTAATTTAATGTTTCGTAAGTATTTTAATTTGTGTAACATTTATTATGAATTTTATACTAGATTATATATTTTATGTAATATAAATATTGTAGCATGAATTCTACATTGTAGTAGTTGTTATCTTAAAAAACCGTACTATCGACAGGTAAAAGTGGAAACATACATGATAGTGGAGTCAGTAATAGCGACAGTAAAGGTAATAGATGAGATAAATGTTCATTTCTTAGGACCTAGTAGTGGACGACATGTTGTCGCTAACACCCCGTTCCTGAGTTCAACTTAACGAGAAAAAAGGAAATTTGTGGAAATGAAAAGAAAATAAAAGAAGTTAATGTTCCCAAGTTTCATTAAAGGAAGGAAGTGGAAGGAAGCGGACGGAAATGAAATGATCACTTTCCTTCCCAACTTTCGTTCTGATTTGGGAGGATTTGGAAAAAAAGAATAACATGGTTAACTTTCCTTCCATTTCTCTTTAACTCGGGAATGCAAAAAAAAAAAAATTTGTTTTCCTTTTTTTTTCTCTCCTGACTTTTTTTTCTCTTCTTTTCTTTTGTTTTGTTAAACTCGGGAACTAGATGTTAAGGCAATAGCTTCGACAAAATGGGTTATTAATAATGACATTTGTTGCCCTTGTTTCGAAGATTTCCTATAGTGTGGTTCAGTTGTTTTTATACAATTTTTCATTCTAAACATTTTTGAACATTAGAAAAATAAATTAAATAACATTTTTCGTTATTAAAATTATTATTTGGTTGCACAATTCAAGTATTTAAAGTGATATTTATTGAGATGGTTTTTTATTTATTATGAGGTTTTTACTTTTTATTTGTTGGTTGTTACATTATGACTACATACTTTATTGAACCATTTTTCACCGTTGATATCAAAATTAAAGGTCAAGATTTTTTTTATAGCCTTATTCCTATCATTATAAATAGGAAAAAGTATGTTCCATGCCATACCATATGAATCTTTGTTTATCTTCAATCATATATTTTCTTCTTTCTATTTACTAGAAAATGAATGTGCCGTATGTTTATGGGATCGCCATGATCTTGTTTGGGGCATTATTTTTGGTGAAAACTCAAGGGGGTATCACATCGCTATATTGTGATATAGAGAAACTGATACCATGCCTTCAATATGGGGATCCAGCGGTAAGACCACCTTCTCGAGATTCAGAATGTTGTAGAAATATCCACGAACAAGAACCGTGCTTGTGTATGTTTTGGAGGGATCCCGAATTTCAAGAAGAGTTCGATACCCCTGGTGCTGCAAGAGTTGCAAGATTTTGTCGTATCACCCTCCCTAATGCAGCAATTTGTGGTTAATTTTCTGTTTAGATAAAAATAAATAATACTGCAACTTAATAAAAATTAATAAAAATGCAGTTGTTATGTCGAGAAGTAATGGTTGTAGGCTTTCCCTTATGTTAATCATATGGTAAAATTTCTAATTCGCTTGGCCTAACTCTATCTTGTTTTATAGTTTTTTCTTTGAAAACTGACGTAACACAAATGTCTTTTCTTACAAAAAATATCATTAGACTTCATTTTTTTTCTTCATATATTACCTTTAAACATAACAAAGTGTATAAAAATGACATTATTCTCGGTATAAACAGGTTTTGTGGTTATTAAAAGAAGGCACTAAACTTTGCTTTTTTACAATAATAATAATAATAATAATAATAATAATAATAATAATAAATAAATAAATAAATACTATTAAACACTCATGTAACATAAAAATCTTGAGTTGCAAGATGTTCCGACTTAGAATCAAACCTTCAAGACCTCCAAGGTTTCAAACAACTCATCGACTAAAATGGTTTTTTGAAAAACCGGAACGACAATAGCTACGTTTTGGTGGTTAGAAAGGACTCAATTGGATAATATTATTTTCTTAGTACCAAATGGACTATAAAATGAATATAAACAATGTTATTGAAAATTCATAAGTTGATTTTATTACTACCATACGATTACTAGTTGTGTACTCGCTGCAATGCAGGACTCAAATTTATTATGAAAAAGTTAAGTTAGTAGGACTATTTAGGTTCATGAGTAATAATTCTAAAATATTTGTTTATGAATTTTCATCTTTGATGTTTGATCATCTTGTTAATGAAATGCATATTGACAATGTTGTGAAGATCATTAAATTATAATATGAAAATTTTCATAAATTTTTTTTATATTCCGGTCTCATAATCGATTATTTTTTTATAATTTTTTTCTTGCAATTCAGCCCAAAAAACTAACAATTGTTTACAATTAAGTTCCAAAAATCTACGGTTCATTACACTTTTGGGTTTTTTATTTAGTAACCCGGTAATTTATAGTTTTTTCCCTCGTTAAACCAATCACCAATCGAATGTGAGTGCTTTTTTACAAATTAGATTAAAGTTTAGGAGTTTGGACTAACTATTATCTAATATTTTGTATTGAGCTAACTAAATGCATATTTTGTAGAGAAAATGACAAATATAGACAATATCTCTATTGAATTTTTATTTAATAGAGAAAAATAGCCCTTAGCCAAAAATAGTCATTGAAAACGAAAACGTTGACGTGTAAAATCGCCTACTGTTTCAAGAGTGGGCTATGGTTTCAGGGGCTTCTATAAAAAAATCATTTTTATTGACGAAACCATAGGTTAGTTACTCACCTACGACATGCTCTGTAAACTATATGGTATCCCAAACCAGAGGTTTCTGTCATCTATTATGTCCTCAAAAAGCTAGTGTTTCCTAAGAATAATTTATCTTTACATACAACTATATCACTATACAAGGTTGAAAAAAAACGAAAAAACGAATACCAAAACCGTAGGTGGCATTCATCACCTACGGTTTCGGTATTTTTTTCGATTTTAGGAAAAAAACATGTATACAATGCTAATAAATTTCATAGTAAACAACAAAAAACCAAAAACAAATTAAATAAAAAAATAAAAAAAAATAAAGAATACGAGAATTATTGTTTGTAGTGGTCATTCACAACGTTTTCTCTAACTTCAAACAATTGAAAATGATCTAATTGAAAATTTTCAACTTTATGTATTTTGGGCTAATGGGTCGTTAAACAGTAGAAAAGTCTCCAAACCTTAGCCTAAAGCCCTTAAAATGTGGGTGATTAAATTTGATTAGGCCGAAACGGTAGTTAGTTTACCTTTACGTGAAACCTTAGTTCTCTTAATCACATACTATTTCATCGGGTGTTGTTATTGGCACCTAAAAATTGGGTCAAAACCACTGTTCTAAAAAGTCAATACCACCGTTATATTTGAATCCCAAATTGAAATGACATTTAAACAATATTATAATACTAAACTTCATTTTATATATTATTTGTTTACAGAATCTTTTATCACGCTTTCTTTTTCCTTTTATATATATATATATATATATATTATATATATATATATATATATATTATATATATATATATAGAAATGAGAAAAGAAATATATATAGGAGGAGTCAATTGAGAAAAAAAAAATGTTGAGAATAAGGGAATCGTTCTCGGCCACACATTTATATTGCCGCAAAGTAATTAGGCGTACCGGCGGAAATGGATAACAAATACACGTGTGTTTCCAAACAAACATTATTCCTTAAACTATGCTAATCATTACCTTAATATACACAAAAACATATTTTTTTTTTATTTGATTGATTTTTAGAAAGTTGTTTTTATCGAAAAATTATTTTAAATATAGCAAAATTCATAATTTTTTATTCTTTATAAATAGACATCCATATTGATATAGTTTTAAGATAAAATAAAAAAATTAATTTTTTTAGACTTTCAGCTCTCATTATTCATAAGTGAATACAAATCCATCACATTTTTATTACAGTACACTCGTTATTCACTTATGAATAAAACGTATGCTTAACTTTTTTTTTTAAAGTTCGACTATCGTTCATATATGAATGGGATAATGACTTGAAAGGGTAACGAACTTTCGATTTTGTTCACATTTAGTCACTAAACTTTTTTTCGTTATCTATTTGTCGTTGAACTATTGAAACTGCTCACATTTTACCCTTATCACCGGTAACAACCGGTCATAAGGGTAAAATGTGAACAGTTTCAATAGTTCAGTGGCAAATAGATAACGAAAAAAAAATTAGTTAATAAATGTGAACAAAATCGAAAGTTCGTTTCCTTCTAAAAAAGTTCAATGACTAAATGTGAACAAACTTCCTCTTGTATTATGTTTTAGCAAATTATTTATTTTTGTTAAATTGTAACAACATTTATTGATGAAGAAATCTATGAAATAAAAAAAAACAAAACAAAACCCCAAAAAATATATTAAAAAAAATGAAAAACCGAAACCGAAATAAAAAACCAATGGTTTGGTATTTTCCAAAATAAAAAATCATAATTTTCCAATCTGATTTTGGTTTTACAAAAATTCAACTTTCGGATTTCCATATCTAAATCTCTCCCCCTTTTATAATCGAAAAATGATTATAAAACCAAAAAGGGAATGAGAAAGCGTTCAATTCGGAATTTTTCTATCCAAAACTCCCCCTTGTGACATAAGAGATAGAGAGAGAGACATGTAAACACCTTTATATAATTTGGGTTCATACCACATGTAGAGGTGTGCTTGAGAGATGTAACATTGAGAGTGTTAGTGTGTGTTAATTATGTAGATTTAGATCTAGATCTTTTTTGTAAACACCTTTCATAATCGAATGCATCTCTTAAACACTAAAATTACCGTGTGTCTTTGTGTGTTCTTTAATTCCGCATGTCAAACCAATGGTCATAATTCACATCAGTGAGAATGGTTCAATTTTGGTAAAACCAAAATCAAATTTGAAATTTTGATTTTTTATTTTGGAAAATGCCAAACCATTGGTTTTTTATTTCGGTTTTGGTTTTTCGTTTTTTTAATATATTTTCGGGGTTTTGTTTTTTTTTTATTTTATAGATTTCTTCATCAACAAATGTTGCTAGAATTTAACAAAAATAATAAATTTGCTAAAACATAATACAATAGGAAGTTTGTTCACATTTAGTCATTGAACTTTTTTAGAGGGAAACGAACTTTCGATTTTGTTCACATTTATTAACTAATTTTTTTTTCGTTATCTATTTGCCACTGAACTATTGAAACTGTTCACATTTTACCCTTATGACCGGTAACAACCGGTCATAAGGGTAAAATGTGAACAGTTTCAATAGTTCAGTGACAAATAGATAACAAAAAAAAGTTTAGTGACTAAATGTGAACAAAGTCGAAAGTTATTACCCTTTCAAGTCATTATCCCTATATGAATATAACACGTAATAAAGTTTTCTTACTTAAAATATATTTTTTACATCATCTTTCATCATATATTATATTTATATATGAATAAAACGTGTATTAGTTGTCGTCATATTTTATATTCATATATGAATAAAACATTTATGAGATTTTTGTTTCAGTTAATTTGTTATTCATATATGAATAAGTAGTGTAAATGATAGTTAAAATGTAAAAAGAATTAATCATATTTTTTTATTCATAAGTGAATAACGAGTGTACTGTAGTAAAAATCTGATGTATTTTTATTCACTTATGAATAACGACAGCTGAAACTATAAAAAAAATAAAAGTTTTAATTTATCTAAAAACTATAGCAATATAGATGTCTATTTATAGATAATAAAAAATTATGAATTTTGATATATTTAAAATCATTTTTTGATAAAAATAGCTCCTTAAAAATTTAAAAAACGAAAAAAAACTATGTTTTTATATATATTAATGTAATGATTAACATAGTTTAAGGAAACATGTTTTGTTGGAAAAACATGTGTATTCCTTTCCCATTTCCGCCGGTAGGATGGAGGTTTTTGCGGCAAAAATAAATGATTGGATAAGAATGATTGTCTCATTCTCAACCGTTTTTATTTTCTCAATTGAACTTACATCTCTCTCTCTCTCTCTCTCTCTATATATATATATATATATATATATATATATATAATTTTTCATGTAGTTACATTAATATTATTTTTTGTATTATTATTTATAATCATATAATTTAATTTTTTAGCCATTACTAAACAAATTTTATTTTTCAGTTATTTATATTATAGTATTTAAATAAAATTTTCTTAAAATAAAAAAAGATTTGCTATAAACTATTATAATCATTGTATTTTTATTTATCTTTGATTAGTTTCATCTCAATATTTTGTTTTTATTTTTATATTGATTAAGCTCGTATTAATATCCGATAACTCTTTAGGGGATTAGTTATATGTGGTTCTATTTTAATTTGTTTATTCGAGCAAAAGATAAATAAAAAAATTAAAAA